TATATATATATATATATAAATCACAATCGCTGTAAGCTATACGTAGAGCTCATCTTCAACACAGGGGCGCGTATTCCACTAACAAGCACCATGTGATTCGCAAACAACTCAACTCGTCTCTTTCTAATACACTTTCCACTATCTACTTGTCTCGTACTACACACGTTGCAGCTTCTCAGAGATGACCTACGCGCTATCTATGAGCAAATGAACTTAGCATACTTTGGTCAGGAGTACCTGAACGCAGACAGAGGAGACAAGAGTCTGCTACTGCCAATGAACCCAACAGAGCACGGAAACGACGCCGATATCATCTATGGCCAACTGAAGACGCTCGAGGCACGCATGTGTGGCATTGTATATGTGTAGTGTGTGTGTAGCATTGTATAGGTGTACGCGTGTGTGGCATTGTATATGTGTAGTGTGTGTGTAGCATTGTATAGGTGTATGAGTGTGTGTGGCATTGTATATGTGTACGTGTGTGTGTGCGGCATTGTATAGGTGTATGTGTGTGTGGCATTGTATAGGTGTATGTGTGTGGGGCATTGTATATGTGTACGTGTGTCTTTCTAGTATATTCGCTTGAACGTATTACCTACCACTTCGCACAACGTAACACAGTGGAGGGTTACATGACTGTCTTTGTTCAACACACGACTTCCACATAATAAAGTAATGCACAAACGCCGATTTCTTCACGCCACAGGAAATACGAGCCATCGCCAGTGTGCGGGCAATTGATCTTCGAGTGGCCGGGCTAGAGACACCCCTAACTGCGTGCCAGGCAACCACCTGGCAGATCCAGGCCTTCAAGGTACGCGGTAAGCTGTAACCTCACATGAGTGAATAGGGCCATAGGGCCCTTGAGGGCGACCTCGTTGCAAGAATTAGGACTTTGAGGTGCATATAGTGCACCTTGTGCAAGGTGTGAGTTTTGTCTACATCGCCGAGTCTGCTGTAGTTAGTCGGGCACAGAGCTTGCCTGTGCGATTTGGATTCTGTGTTTGTGAGCACATGAGGTATAAACGGCATCTGTGAATGGCTGTAGTCGTAGACAGATGGTTGCTTATTACGTTGCAGCTCATGGTGTATTAACAAAGTAGGTATGGATATAAGCTTACTAGGCATATATATAAATACGGTAGGTATGGATATAAACATACTAGGCATGTATATGAACATGGTAGGTATGTATATAAACATACTAGGCATGTATATAAACATAGTAGGTATGGATATAAGCTTACTTGGAATGTATATTGGCATAGTAGGTATGGATATAAATATACCAGGCATATATATATACATATTACGTATGGATATAAATATACCAGACATGAGACATACTAGGCATGTATATAAACATACTATGCATGTGCACAGACAACAATAACATATTAAGGCGATAAGGTCTCAGTTTATGCACTCATAGTGCGTGGTAGTCACGTGCCTTGTGTCTGATTTCGAGTACACGAACGTTTTCGTATCCCATACTATCGCTGGCGGTTCGCATTCTCTTCATAAGTTAAACGGGACGTGTACGGCGCATCCACTCCATGACTCATCGCCAGGGCTAGCCTCTCCCACTCTCAAAACCCTAAACCCTAAGCCCTAAATCGCAACAACCTCCACCCCCCAAACAGAACAACGAACAGGTAGACATCCCCGATCTCAACATCTACGCCGAACTTCGGGGCCCCAGCATCATCACGCCATCCATCATCTACCGCAACGGACCAAACGCCGGGTATGACGTCACGTTCACTCCGCACGTGGCCGGGAAGTACAATGTGCTTATCCGATTGGACCATACACGTGGCGTGGGTGACGTCAGCTGCACCATGGACACCACACATCTGTTACTGGAGAATGTCACTCTGTCAGAGGAGTACCGAACTGTCATTGTGGCACCCAGCAATATCAGTGTAAGTGGATGTGTGTTGTGCAGTATCAGTTGAAGTGGATGTGTGTTGTGTATGGGTAGTCCCTGAACTCCATGTACATTTGAGAGGATTGACACTGTAGGGTGTCTGTCCAATTGAGTGTGACGTGATTGAGTGCCGATCCTTTTGTCGCCTTCGCTGATGTGTTTATCCACATTGTAAAACGTATTTGTCTATCCATGTAAATATCCACATTGCATCTCCAAACGTCTTTGTCTATCGATGTGTTCTACCACCTATCGTTTGTATGCGTATCTATCCTTGGTATCACACACCCCAGCTGTACGAACGCACATTTACCTGCAACCTCCTTGCAAATTAATAGCAAAGCTGAAGCCGTTATGTATTGTTGCATTATCCCATTCCAAAAATCAAATACAGCTTTACCACTAATATCAAACCTATGTATCTGCTACAATATGCGTCACAGGTATCGGCGGATGCTTCAACAAGCCCAGTCAGTATCAGTTGCGGTGCGAAGGCCGGCCAAATCTTCGGAAAAGGCGGGGGTGTAGGCGAGGGAGAAATGGGCTATAGAGAGGGCGAGTGGGTCAGAGTCAGTTGCAAGGAACCTGCGGACGATTGGGAGAAGCTGGCGTGCACAAAGGGCATGGTAGAGTATGAAGCAGGTGTGTGACACGACGTAGGACACACTCTGTCATTACATTGGTGTAAATTGATCATGATATCCTCGACATAGCCATATACACACATACACACACACACACACACACACACACACACANANA